TGAACGGTGGGAGGGGACTCTCGAGGAATGATAGGGGCCTCTTCAACGATAGGAGTGGACTCTTGAGGGATGATAGGCGAGTCGAGCTTCTTCTTGCGGTGTCTTCTCACTATTGGGGTATACGGAGACTTAATAGCACGTGCACGCCGTCTGATGCGTGAACTCTGTCGTGCAAGAAAAACCCGACGTAAAGCATCCACCTTATCGGTCCGCTAAATAAAAATACAAATATCAGTAAATAAACAGACATGATATTTAAACAGTGAAAACAAAGATAAATATATTTCAAACTTTCAACCAAAAGACAAAACAAAGACAAATATTAACTTCACAGTGTTAAAGTAAAAAGTTTAGCAGTTTTGGCAGCAACCGAATAAATTTACTAAGCAATCTAAGTGAAATGGTTAATTTAAGTGAAATTACGAGTAAATTTATCATCAAGTTAAATATGGAAAATCTTAAACTTACCTCGTTGCGTAGAGTATGAACCTCATTCTGCAACGATACTACCATCTCACGTAGACCGGAAACCTCACCACGTAAAGTAGACACCTCCACACGCCATGCACCATCGTTATCGCGTAGAGTACCGATCTCCTCACGCAAGACATTGACCTCATCACGTAACTCCCTTGACTCATCCCGTGGAGGTGGAGAACAGGGAGATAGAAGTCGTGGCATCTTTGTCGGTCGCCTATCATGAGGTGATGGTGGAGAAGAGACTCGATGATGTGACGGGATAGGTGATGGCTCTCGTTGTAGAGGTGTATAGTCGGGTCGATCAGGTGATGGCTCTGGGTGAGGTGATGGCTCTCGAAGTGGAGGAAGTGGAGGCTGCTCATCATTCGTGCCATCAAAAAAACGCTGACTAGCTTGCCACCAATCAGTGGCAAGCTCAGCCTCCGTGGGTGTCAGTCTCATTAATGGAGTGTTGGCCTCCTAATAATATAAAAACTAAAACAAAGTTAAACGTCTACTATTAATAACTTGTTTATATATGATAGTATTTGTGTTAACTTACATTATTTATTGTCGCATATGGTATTAAGTCTTCCCAATCCAACATACGTTTCCTCTTCCAGGAAATAGCCATAGGAATATCATCTGAGGATTTTAATGCATATGTCCGCATGCTGGGGAAAGCCTCGAATATCCAAATCTACAAACAATATAATAACAAACATTAGTAATTGTTAAATAATTAATTATAATTTTGAAAACATTATATAGAAATTCTTACCTTAAAGGCCCAAACAAAGCCTGACAAAGTGTATTTCGACCCATCGCCCCGCAAACTTTTGCGGTCATCAAAGGCAGACGACAACTTAGTCCAGGTAGCTTTCCATATATACGAACCCCACGGAAACAGATTCCATGCATTTAGGTCCTCTACCAATAATATTAGCTCCTGAGGAATAGGTTGTCTGGCCTCTCTACCTAGAAAGTCGGCATACAAAAGTAGTAGAAGGCATACTCGGACAACATCGACGTCATTCATCCGAGTAAAACCATCTTTCTTATTAAACAATTTCTTCATGTCGTCGACGTGTAAGTTCGGCTTCTCTATTGACTCATCAGGAAAAACCCTGGATAACCATGATGGGCGGGTGATATGACGAGTGTACCGGCCTACATCATCGTGTCCGAATCGTAGACCAGTGATTAAGCAGAACTCCTTCCGCCCAAAACAAGTATACGCCGGTGGAAAATGAAACCATATCTCTTCCTCACCACGTTGTATACTGTCGGGTAGATCGCTAGTCATGGTCTGAAGCCACAAATGGGTCAAACTAGCATCTCCACCCGGATGCTGTACTCTCAGCCATGGCCCGAAGCAGGTTTCTTCAAACAATTTTCTTTGTGCAGGTGAAAGCTTAGAAGCAATTGTAGTGGCTAGGCTAACTTTATTCCTTAATGTCAATGAAGCCGAAAAAAATTTCTACAAAAAACAATAAACATACCAAGTTAGATATACCAAAAATTACACTGTCAAGATATACCAAAAACAAAACAATAAACATAAATAGTAGTTTATTCTTGAAACTAAAATTTGCAACACTGTTTCTGTCTTTTGGTTGAAATGAAAATCGCAACGAGATAATGAGAATCGCAACGCGGAAATGACTATCGCAACGCGAAATGACTATCGCGACCAGACAATCGCAACGCGAAATGAAAATCGCAACCGCGAAATGAAAATCGCAACGCGAAATGAAAATCGCAACGCGAAATGAAAATCGCAATGCGATTTTGGTTTCGCGTTGCGATTTTTATTTCGCGTTGCGATAGTCATTTCCGCGTTGCGATTCTCATTCTCGAAACTATTCTTCTTCTGCATTACTTCAACCAAAAGACAAAGCAAAGACAAATACTAACTTCACAGGCTAAACAGTTTAGCAGTATTGGCAGCAATCAAATGAATTTAATAAGAAATCTAAGTGAAATGGTTAATCTATTATTGAAATTACCAGTAAACTTATCATCAATCTCAATATGAAAAACCTAAAATAATGCAAAAATTTCAAAATAAAAATAAAAAAAACTAACCCTCGGAGGTTGATTTTCCATTTCTGAATGATTGTGAGGTATTTTTGACTGTGAATGGTTGTGAGGGATTTCGCCGGCGATGGGGACGGAAATCTTCGGAGATGGGGACGGATTTTGCCGTAGAGAGTGAGAGATGGAGATGGGACTGAGTGTTGTGTTTTTGGGTTTGAGGTTATGAGTTGCGATTACTGTGGACGGCTCATTTTCCGATTTATTAAGAAAAAATACGTGTTTGGAATTTGAAAAAAAAAAATACGCGTTAATACGAATGGCGCTAAGTAAATCGCGTTGCGAAAGTCAGTATCGTGTTGCGAAAGTAAGTATCTCGTTGCGATTCTTTATTATCGCATTGCGATAGTCAGTATCGCATTGCGATAGTCAGTATCGCATTGCGATTTTCCCAATTCGCGTTGCGATTTACTTATTCGCATTGCGAATTGGGAAAATCGCAACGATACTGTAGACCATCGCAACGCGATTTTCAACTATCGCATTGCGAAAATGCAACGCGAATTTGCGATAATGGAGATCGCGTTGCGAATTAGCGATCGCATTGCGGTTTTGTTGGTCATTTTGGCAAATCCGGAAAAAGTTGGTTAAAATCGTATATTATATGGGATTTTTGGTCACTGAGGTTATTTTCTCTTATTTCAATGTAATTTGTGCACAATATTTTATTTAAACTTTATATAGACATGCATAAATAGTAGATATCGTATAAAATTTTAATCTTAATAAATATAAAAGTTCAAATAAAATACATAAAAGTTTATTTAATACATATTATTTTAATTATAATTGATATCCATATAAATAAATATTCATAACACCCATTTGGATATCTATAAAACAATGTGTCTCGTTAAAACCTTATAAATATAAATTTTCTACACGAGAAAAAATCTTAAGAGAAAATCTTTACAATTTAATCTTGAATGCGATCTTCAAATTCTGAAATATATAATGCATCCATTAATAAATCTTCTAAATTGTTATTTGAGTATATTCATCGGATATTTATATTACTATTCTTTTAAAATTCATGAGATAAAACATTTTAAGAAAATATGCTTTATTTGATGCGTCGTCTTTTCAATTGAGTCAAGTATTTTGCATTATTTTTTATATGATATATTTGACATCTTATCATGTATAAGCAAATTACATTTTTTATGAATGTGTAATAATCTTAGCCAAACACATTTTAGAAACTATATTCATAACCAAAACAAAAATATATAGGGAGAAAGGGTCACTATCTCACCCTTCGCTCCCTCAAAATATCTATCTAAACTTCCATTGATAATAATTGAATATCTTGGAGAACTTATGCACCCCAAATCCGATTCACAAACATTTTCGAAAAATCATGTGCATCAGACGCTCAAATAATAGTGTCCCATTGTAAAGAATCAAAAGCCTTATGTAAATCAACTTTTATTGAATATTTAGCAGATAAAACCTTCATAAAATACCTTATCATTAACTCATGTGCACGAATGATGTTGTCAGTAATAAGAGTGTAAACGAGCCGAGTCAAACTCGAATATTGCAATAATCATCACCTTATCTAATTTCCTAGTCAAAGGTATTTCCACCTGATGATTAGACCAAGTGAAAAAAACCCCACATTAGGATGATTGAAAATTTCCACTGCTCAAACACAATCCCAACATTCTTTCATATCCCTTGAAGGGTCTTCACTTATCATCGTAATCGTTCTTGTATAAACTATTAGAAATATTAAAACAATCCTATTTTCGTAAAATATAAAATTTTATTATTTTATGATAAGATATTTTAAGATTATGTCATGTGATATAATAATAATAAATTATATTATACAAAATAAAATTAAAAAATAATTGTGAAATTTAAAAAACAATATATAAAATATAGATTAAATTAAAAATACTAAATTCAGGGATAAAAATTGATTTTATCCCTTGAAATTTTATTAAAAAATAAAAGGTAAAAATGCACCAGAGATCCTTGTACATTTAGAAAATTAGTGTGATTCTCGTATTATTTTTCTCTTAATGTAATCCTCAAACTCATAAAATAAACTCAATGTGACCCTTTGATCACATTTTATGTCGTTGACCGTTACAATTTTTATGTCGCTCAAGATGCTGACGTGGTAGTCTATGAAATTAATGTAGCGGTCAATGGTGGTTGATAAGGTGACGGATAACATGACATATGAGCTAAATTGATAACTAAAAAATAAAATAATGACAGTCACGTCAATATCGTAAATAATTTTGTCATCATCATGAACTGTCACATCGACACCGTAATAATTAAACGACGAAAATTATTGATGAATGAAAGAGGTACATTATTTTTTTTAAAATACAAGGGCAATGTTAAAAAAAATATGAGGGTCACGATTGTTTTCTTTCAAAAATACACAAACCTCAAATGCATCTTTACAAAAGAAAATGATGTTTTCATGCTTTATCCTTTTGCTCATTGCGTAGGGTAGAGAAACCACGTCAGGAAATTGAAACGATCAATCGTGACCGTCGGATTTTTGTCCCATTTTCTCCTCGTCGGCATGGAGATCTACTTGAAACCGTCGCTGATTCTTACTTAGGTTTTATTCGCTTCTTCTACTTTTAGCGGCGCTGCGAATCCATGATCGTCACGGTCATCAGCTGAATTCGACTCTCACTCTTTCACTTCGAGACTGAGTCTAAAGAGTTAGCTCTAACATCCCTCCTCGATTTTACTCGCATCTCGCAAGACAAAGGTAGCTCTCTCTCGTCCTCTATCTCTTTCAATTCATTGTACAATTAGAACACAGCATAGATCGGCTGAATTACTTAGTCTATTGAAAGTTGAAGCTCTTAAGATAAGCAATTAGCTAGAAATTATTGCTTTCTAGAGAATTGGAGATATTTTTGGTTCATTGCCTTTAAGGTTTTAGTAGTTTTATAATAATTCATTTCCGTGATCAAATTTTGCTTCAGGTTCTTTTATTTTTTTTAACTATTATATTACTGATCTTACTGTTATTTTCATAGTGTACGGTTATGAGCAATAATTTAAAGCAATCTGTTTTCTGTGCCAGTCTTTGAAGCTCTTAAGTAGTTGAAAGAGAATGAGAACGAAGCGAAAACGAGCATGCAGGAAACTCCCTGCCCGAAAACCGACTGCATTGGCCAAAAATGAAGAAGCAGTGAACCAAGTTGAAAAAACAGTGAACCAAAGCGAGGAAGTATTTTTAAATTTTATTAACCATAATAGGCAAGAGGATGCTGTGTCTGCAGATTCGAATGATTTGGAAGTAGTTAACTCGGACCCTGTTGGGGCCAAGAGTAATTCATCTTCATTGTGCTATTCAAGTGACAGTGAAGAGTCGTTTAGTGCTGAAGAAAGTAGCTCTGATGACTCATCAGTTGAAAGGAGATCAAGGAATTCAACTAAAGGACATGGTAATGCAAAGCAGAAATCAAGTAAATTTCCAAGGAAAGGGAGGAAAGATGGTGATAAACCGCCCAGGGTTTTGCATTCTTCCAGTAAAAAGCAAGATGAATCTTCGTTGCCTCAGCAGGACTCTCGCTACAATATGAAAGAAACGAAAGCTGCATTGGAGGTATGCTGAAATCCTTATCACTGCTAATTTTTAGTCATTGCTTGATTAACACTTAGAATGCTTGAGAAAGAAAGAAGATGTACTTCCAAATTGCCAGTTTGCCATTTTTCTAAACTTATCAGGTGATTAAGAAAATAATGAAGATGGATGAGGCTAAACCATTTAATGTTCCCGCCGATCCTGTTGCTTCAAGAAAACCTGTAAGTGTATTGCCAGTTTTCTAAATTTATGAATTGTGTTGCCAATTTATCTTCATCAACTGCATGCTTTGGGTTGAGTCTATTCTAGTTATATTGATTTATCTCACTAACTTTCTCCCTCTATTTCTCCCCCTCCTTCCTTCCTTTTGGGTTGTGGTTTCCTGGAAACAGGATTACTTTAATGTAATAGATACACCAATGGATTTTGGTACAATATGTTATAATTTAGAAAATAGCACAAAGTACATGAATGCAGAAGACGTTTTTAATGACGTACAATACATTTGGGAGAACTGCTGCAAGTCCAATAAGAAGGGAGAGTACATAGTATATCTAATGAAACGAGTGAAGAAAAAATTCATGAAGTACTGGATAGCCGCTGGCTTGAGCACTGAACAATCAAGAAAGATTAACGGTACGTGTTCAGAATTACTTATTTCTTACAGTTATTTCTCCAAAATTTATGCTGGAGATGCAAGAAGTTGTGGAAAAACAATAGATGCTCAATGAAATGAGATTTTCTGTTATACCAACTACTTTGCCATTTTTTTTGAATTTTTACCGTGAAGAAGTAACCGGTGCAGCCAGTATACAAGCGATTACAAATTCCACCATATGTATAGATAGTAGGTTTTGGGGTTTACTGATAATTAGAAAGTTTCAACTTTTTTTTTGTTGATAAAAATAGGAGGTCTCGTTAAAAAGCCCTTCATAACCTTCAAACTACAGAAGTAGCTTAACGAACATTGGAAGGAGGAAAAGATTGCCTCAAAATTTTATTAATATAATACTAAGTACAATACCAGTACAATACAAACAATAACAGCCAGAATACACCTCAACCCAAAACTGACCAAAACATACAAACCCACACTTAAACAACCAGTATAACACCCAGAACCTAACATAATCACCCAGACCCGAAAACAGTGGAATCACCCAATTCCTACTTTAGCCAACCCATCCGCCTCCCAATTGGCGGATCTCAAAATATGCCTAACGATAACATCCTGTTCTACCACTAAAGCAGCAATATCTTTCACCAATGACTTGAATAACGGAGTGCAGCAACCTGGATTTTTGATCCACTCCAAAGCAGTAGAACAATCCAATTCTAGAATAAGCCTCCCCCTTGAATCAAAACCGGACTCCACAAATAAAAGCAGACCCCTTTTAATAGCCAATAATTCAGCAAGGATAGGAGGCCCAGATCACCTTCTTTTTTAATTGGAACTCAATATCAGGAGATGCCTTTTTTTTCACATTACATCATGACATTAAACTTCTCTTTAATGAAGTATGAAATGATAGCAGTCTAGCTGGTAAACCTAATGTAGGGTATTTAGGTTAATGTTGATAAATGGAAGTTTATATGTACGTGCAATGATGATCTAATCTAATGTTAATGCCCTTTTTATTGGATTATAAAATCTCAATTATAGGGAAATTATGAGAATTTTGATTTGGTATTTAAGCATTTACCTTTTAATTTTCATTCACTTGGTGGGAACTTCATACAAACCATCTACAACAGACTATGCTCCAAGACATAGTGCACATGAGCCTTTCTATCCAGGGGGTGGTGCGGTAGATGGCGCCAGCCATATGCAGCAGGGTCAATTGGGTTTTTATCATCATTATCCGTACTTTCCTCCATCAGGCTATAGCCAACCTCATCAGTTGCCGCAATCTGCACCAAGCACTACATGGACACAGTTGGCCCCAGGGAGTTATCATCTACCTCAGCAGTCACAGCATCCGCAACCAAGCACTAGTCAACCACAATTCTCCCGGTTACAAGCTCGCACAGGCAATATGTTCATCATTTCTATCTATTTTTTTCTTGGATGGTTGCTATAACTTTTTACAATCTATCTTTCCTTTTTGCCTGTTTGAAGCTCGTACTAATTTGATTTCAACTTCAAAACGTGCCATTGAGAAGTGATTATGTTGTTGTTTTAGTTTCACAGCAATGGGTAGTGTAATATTCAATGAAATCATTAACATTTTTTGATGTTATATATGTAAATGACTATATTTTTCACAAGTTTACTGGTTCTGCAAGAATAACACGCTACCTCAAAAAAAAAAAAGATTCTTAATCTTGTTATTTTAATCTATCTGCCAACAATATGTGATGACACCATTGAGCTATTTTCATTTCTATCTCACTCCATAAATGATTTTTGTAGGATATTCACATTATTATTAACTACCTAAAGACATGACCCCTAAACACAAAAAGCATGCATCTTCGTCAAAATAGAAAAGAATGCATCTAAGGCTCCTGCAGTATTTGATGCACAACAGACACTGCTGCCCTCAAGCAGCAGCAGAGCATCAGTCAATTAAATGCTGTTACACTGCCCTTTTCTTGTAATCAGGGCATTATATTCTTAAGTTGTTCTTTATTTCCTTACTCAAGAATCCGTTACAGCCTAGATTAAAATTGATAAAATTTGAAACTCAAAATATGAGAGAGAAAGAGTCAGTCAAGTAGGGAGAGAAAGAGAGAAAGGTCAATCCTCTTCCGGCGTGAGTTGGACGGTTTTCGTTGATAATCTTAGCAAGAGAGTCTCTATAAGAGAGTTAAGAGATTTATTTCTTTCTCAAGGTCATGTGGTTAGAGTTTTTATTCCAAATGAGACAAACAAACCAAAGTATAAATCCTACTTGTTTGCCTTTGTTCAGTTTGGTAATGAAGTAGGAATGTGGAATGCAGTTGAAAATTTAAATGGGTTATGGTTAGATGGGAGAAAAATATTTGTTGGAGTTGCAAAATATCAGAAAAATCGTTCAAGGTATGGAGGGTCAGATAAGGTTCTAGTTGGTGCTTCAAAGAAGATAACAAAAGGAAATACCAATACTACTGCAAGAGCTCAGCGCACAAGAAGTATAAGGGATGATAGGTCTTATAAGGATGCTTTGTTGATGAACATCCCATAGAGAAGAGCTTTGAAAGATTTAGAGAATAAAAATGATGCTTCAGATAGGGGGAAAGGAAAGAAGAATATTTGGGAGATGCATATTCCTTCTGATCAATCATCCTGGCTAAAAAGATCACTCACGGGCATTGTTAAACAAAAGTTTGATCTGGAGTTGGTGCAAAGCACTTTGGCCAAAGAAGGTTTCGAAGTCTAGATTGCAAGCTGGGGCCACATTTGGAAATCTTGTGTCATTATATTTAAGTCAGACGAGGAGATGAAGGAGGCTTGGATGAAAAGGAGCGAGTTGTTATGCTTCTGGTTTGATAGACTGGAACTTTTGTTGAATGAAGGAGGTATGCCAATGGCTTTTTGTTTGGTGGAGCTCTATGGTGTTCCATTACTATGTTGGCAAGAAGATTTTTTAGAAAAGTTAGCGGGGAGGTGGGGGATCGTAGATGGTATTCAGAACTCGACAAGAAACATGGAGGATCTCTCGGCTGTGAAAATTCTGATTAGGGTGGCAAGCCCTTTTGATGTTCCGGAAGTTATCACTTTAGGTTCGTATGGAAGATCCTACAAGGTGAAAATTAAGTTGGGCTCGACTTCTATCTATTCTGGTTTTTTCTCCAGTTCCATGCCGGAAAATTTTTCCGATGAAGGTGAAACTGCATCAGAGTCGTCGGAGATGAAAGTTGACAGCTTAAAGTCAACTGATAAGACAGGTACTGTTCGATTGGTTGAGGAATCACGTAAGAGAGTTGATAGCTGGATGGAGCAGGGAACTACTTCCGCTTTTGTTGAGTTTGACAGAGGATATCAGTTTCCTAGAAGAAGCAGGGATGGGATAAGCATTAATGAAGGGATGCCAGATTTGCACAGTATTGGGAGTTTTAAAAAGGGAGAGTTTGCAGGTTAGGGTTTAAGGAATTTGAATAATTCAAATGGTAATTCTCATACCCAAACAGATGGTAGTAGTGAGCCCATTTCCCCAATAAAGAAGTTAATTCCTAAGGGTCCAGCAGTTCTCATATCTGGACTTCAGTTTCCATTAAATAATCAGTGTTTCATTCATCCAAGCAGTCCGAAGATAGTAGTAAATGAGAAGATTCAATCTAGTAAAATAATAGTGGAGGGTGGTTCTAATTTTACGGCATTGAATTCAGCTAATGTGAGGTCTGCAGAAGGTAATAATTTGTTAACTGTGGGGGTGTTTTTCAGAATCGTCCAGCAGAGAATATTTCTATGAAAAGTGCTCCGGTGGGAAGAAGGATGATAAGAAGTTATAAGAGTTTATAAAAGATCTCGGGTGAGGAACATTTGGCGAAGTAGTGAGCAGGATTTCTTATCTCAAACAGAGGGTGGTTAATCAAACAGAATGAAAATGTTGTTATTTTAAGATATGCACAATCTGAATTTCCAGAGGATGATCAAAACTCAGAAGAGAATTGTGAAGATGTGGGGATTAGAAGATCTAAAAGGAGAACTCAAACATTTTTTTTTATTAAGGATGCCTTAGAAAAGGTTAGTGTCTCCACTATTTCATCCACTGCTTTTACTTCGATTTTAAAAGAAGCTCTTGCAACTTGGGAAATTTTTTGAGGAAAAAAGAAAAGCAGCGAGCTGTTCAAAAGATAGTTTTCGAGAAGAAACCATTCTTTCTCTTTTTGCAAGAAACAAAATTGGAGGCATGTCCAAGGTCTTTTTTGAGAAGAAGTGGACTGAACAATCTTCAAGGGTATGTTGAATCACCAGTAGAAGGTTCATCAGGGGGATTACTTAGTTCTTGGGATGACAATGTTTTTAAGGTAGAAGATAGGCAGATTCATAGGAGATTTATTGCTATTTTAGGGAAGTTCAGAATGAATCAATTTTAGTGCGGGTTTATTAATGTATACGGACCTTTGGTGGAGGAAGAAAAAGCATATTTTTTTGAAGAGCTCAGCTTGTTTTTGAATGGTATTAGTATTCCTTTTTGTGTAGGAGGGGATTTTAATGCTTATTTAACAGAAGATGAGAAGGATGGAAGAGCACAAAACATAAATTCGATGGAGATTTTTAGGCAATTTGTTCATCATTCGGGCTTAATTGATTTTCCATTAACAGGGGGAAGATTTACTTGGGGTAACAATTGGGAAGATCCTACTGTTGTCAGATTGGATAGGTTTCTGCTGAGCATTAATTTTTCATCTGCATTCTCGAATATCACCCAACTCCTACTTCCGAGATCTATTTGTGACCATAATGCAATATTGCTTCAGACAGGGGGTGATAATTGGGGTAAAAAACCTTTCAGGTTCAACTATTTGATGAATGAGGATGGGTTTAATGAGCAGGTTGTTACAACTATTAAAGATTGTAAGAAAGTTAATAGAAAAGCAGGTATTCTGAGCATCATTAGAAGTTCAAAATCAGTTATTAAAAGTTGGTATGGAAGAAGATTTCAGTTTCCAGCTTCAACCATTTCTGTTTTAGAAGGGAAGATTCACCAATTAGAGCAAAATTCTCAGTCACAGCAGGTATTAAGGGGTACAGACAGTGTTGAAGAATTGCGGTCTTTAAGATCATAATTGTGGAAGTTATACAGGATTGAGGAGCAAGTCTGGATTCAAAATTCAAGAGTGAAATGGATAAAAGAAGGTGATCGAAATACAAAATTTTTCCATACTTATGCTTCAATTAGGAGGAGGTTGAATTCTTTAAATGCTCTCAAAGTGAAAGATGAAATCATTTATGACCCGACTCTCATCAAGGCAAGTGTCCGTGATCATTTTGTTGAAACTTTTAATTTCAAGTCTACCCTGGAAGTGGAAGATATCAAGCTGAATTTTTCGAGAATAACTTTAGAGCATAGTACAAGCTTAGAGAAGAGGTTTACGGAAGAAGAAGTTTGGGAGGCCTTGAATTCATGTGATAGCAACAAAGCGCTAGGGCCGGATGGGTTTAACATGGGATTTTTCAAAAGGTTTTGGACCTAATTGAAAGTTGATATTTTGAAATTTTTTCATAATTTTTACTTGGGTAAAAATTGGGAGCATGGCATTAATCACACCTTCATAACCCTCATCCCTAAGGGTTCAAACATTGGGGGCTTAGATGATTTCAGACCTATTAGTTTAGTATGCGGATTGTATAAGATCCTTTCGAAATGTCTATTGAGAAGGTTGAGATGTTGCATGAACGATGTCATTAGTGCTTCACAATTTGCTTTTACTCCTAGTCGACAAATCTTGGATTGTTCTTTTATAGCTAATGAAGGAATAGATTTTTGGAGAGAAAGGTTTGAAGGGTTGTGTGTTTAAGGTAGATTTTCGGAAGGCTTATGATACAGTGGATTGGGATGTTCTTTTCAAAGTCATGGACAAAATGGGTTTTGGCATAGAATGGTGCAGCTGGATAAGAAAGTGTGTGACCACAGCATCAGTTTCAGTGTTGGTTAATGGTGTGCCTACAGAGGAATTTTCAATGTCAAGAGGTCTTAGACAGGGTTGTTCACTTTCCCCATTATTGTTTAATTTTATAGGAGAGCTACTTAATCAATTGATTCTCAAGGCGGTATCTTCGGGGTTGTTTAATGGTTTGGTTGTCGGCAAAGAAGAAGGTTCTTACATGCTATCCCATTTGCAATTTGCAGACGATCTTATTATTTTTTGTAATGCCTCTAAGACGGATATTTTAAATGTTAAGAGAGTTCTACAGGTTTTTGAAATTATGTCCGGTCTACAGCTTAATCTCAACAAAAGTAAGTTATTTGGCATTAATATTACTGATGAAGAGGTCAAGGAGTGGGCGGGGGATCTTGGGTGTGCAATTGGTACTTTCCCTTCTGATTATTTAGGGCTGCCGCTTAGAGCAAAAAGGAACTCTTCCGCTCTGTGGGATCCGGTTGTGCTGAAATTCTTCAAGAAACTGTCGGGTTGGAAGGCATGAACTCTTTCTTTGGCAGGGAGACTGGTTTTATTGAAATCAGTATTATGTTCTTTGCCTACATATTATTTGTCTATGTTTGAATCTGTGCAGCATCTATTCATCACTTGTAATGTTGTTTGGGAACTATGGAATAAAGTAGCTAGTTTCTGGGAAATTGCTATGGTTCTACCACAAGATCCTCCTTCTCTTCTTTGTTCCTGGGGTGAGTTGAGGGAGAAATCTACGATTTGGAAGTTTATTTCGGGAGTCATCTTTTGGTCTATATGGAAACATAGGAACAAAATGGTGTTCGAAGGAATTCTTTTAGACAGAGTGTCACTGTTCTTCATTGTTAGATTCAGGCTTGCTAAATGGTTCCATGCCAAATTTCCGGGTATTAATATACAAGAGGATGTGCTGATTGGTAATCCATCTCTTGCAGATGGTGTTTCATCTTGTAATGTTAAAGATCGTATTGTCTTTCGGTGGTTACCCCCCCAGTAGACTTCCTAAAGATGAATGTCGATGGAGCTGTTAGGCAGAACGATTCGGGTGGAGGTATCGGAGGCTTATTAAGAGATTGGAATGGTTGCACTCTTTTGATTTTCTCAGAGAGTATTGGTCAAGCAATCCCCCCACTTGCTGAATTAAAAGCTATAAAAAGAGGCATGGATATTTTTCTGTATTCTCGGTGGGCTTCAGTTGGTAGGTTGATCGTTGAAAGTGATTGCTCGTCTGCAGTGGAATGGATTCAGTCCCCGACTTTGGCACCTATTTTTTTCTCGCCTATTGTTTATCAGATTTCGAGTCTTATCTGTGAAAAGGTTCATTCAGTAAGGTTGATTCCAAGGGAGTGTAACGGAGAGGCAGATAGCTTAGCAAAGAAAGGGATAGGTTGATTGTAAGGGTCTATTTGTGGTTTTCTTGACTAAGTGTGTAGGTTTTTATGTTGGGAGGAGTGTTTAAGTTTTATGCCAAGCAATTTAGTGTTATTTTTAACTTTTATGTAACTTTCAATATTAATAAAAGTTCCAAGGCACTCTTTTCCTCCTTCCTATGATTAACGACCTTTCTTCAAGGTCTTTAAATTAAGAAGGGGGTTTTTAATGAGGCCTTTCATTCCTATCAAAAAAAAATTGTCTATGTTTAAAATTCCAGCAGCAATGAATACTAAGTTGCAATCCATCATGGCCAATTTTTTGTGGGGAGGAGGGGCAGAATCTAAGAAAATGCACTGGGTCAACTAAATAACAGTGTGTAAATCAAGAAGTTGTGGTGGTTTGGGTGTGCCGAATCTTAATTTTATGAATAGGGCCTTATTAGAGAAATGGTTTTGGAAGTTTGCTAATGACAGTGAATCAATTTGGAAGAGGTTGATAAGTTCCAAATATAATCAGGACACTAATATGATTTCTTTCTCTAAAAAATATCCTACAAATGCTTCTTGGATTTGGAAATCGGTGGTTAATAATCATTTTAAAGAGGATGAGTTTGGTGCCAAGATTCGTAGCATGTTCCAAGTCAGAGTGGGTAATGGGGAGAGAATCAGGTTCTGGGTAGATATTTGGGCTCTTGATCATCCTTTGAAGACTGTTTTCCCGAGGATATATGCTCTTTCATTGAATCAGTTTGGGACAATTAAGGAATTTGGTGAGTTCAATTCATCGGGGTGGTCTTGGTATGTCCAGTTGAGAAGAAACCTATGTGATTGGGAGTTAGAACAGTTTTCTAATTTTCTAGTCATCATTCATAATTTCAGCCTATCCCAAGAGTCAAGAGATGGTCTGCTTTGGGGAGGGAATGGGGAAGGCATTTTTACTGTTAATTCTTGTATGAAGACTTGTTTTGTTGAATCGGTAAAAGATAGTTTCTGGGATAAATGTATTTGGAATGGGTTGGTGCCTCCTAAAATAGAAACTTTTATGTGGCAAGTAGCCCATCAGAAATTGGCAGTTAAGTTTGAGCTTCAAAAAAGAGGGGTTTCGGGGATTGTTGATGTTTCTTGTCCTTTGTGTAAAAGAGAGATTGAATATATTCCTCATCTATTTTTCTCTTGCAAGGTGGCATGGTCCCTATGGAATAAGTTTTTGAATTTTTGGAATATTAGTTCGGTCCTTCATGGAAATGCACAAGGATTTTTACTTGCTTGGAATGACATGATGTTTTCTTCTTCTATTTGGTCCTCAATTCCGGGTTAGTGCTTTGGACTATTTGAAAAATTTGGAATGCCATGGTGTTTGAAGGAAGGTCTTTGGATCACATTGAGTTATTTTTCATGGCTAGGCTAAGGCTTGCTTCTTGGTTCTTAGCTAATTTCAACGAGGTTACTATTACTAAAGACTCCCTGATAAGTGATACATCTATTGCAGATTTCTGTTTTTCTTCCAGAAATTCGGCTACTAAAATTGTGTCCTAGATTCCTCCCCAAAGGGTTTTCTAAAACTGAATGTAGATGCAGCAGTTTGCAATGATTGGCGAAAGAGCGGTGTGGGTGGTTTACTAAGAGATGAGGCTGGTAAGATTATGGGTTCTTTTAAAGAATCTGCAGATCCAGGCCCTCCAACTTTGCTGGAGCTTGTTGCCATCAAGAGGGGTGTACTTATCTTTGAGCATATTCTTCAGAGGTTTAAGAATCGGTGGATTGTTGAATCTGATAGCAAACTTGCTGTGGATTGGGTTAAGAATTTAGATAGCTGTCCTGGTGTTTTCTTTCATCTAGTCAAAGATATTGTTGCCATGATAAGAGTTTTGGAAGGAGCTATCAGATGGGTTGACAGAACGGCAAACATAGAAGTTGATAGCTTAGCTAAGGCTGGTATTGTGTAGTTATTGTTTGTTGGGTTGGGATATTGTTTAATTGAGTGAAAGATGTGTTCTTTGGTGTGTTTCGGGTTGTTTTTGTAAGGGCTTCTTTGTTTTAAACATTATGTAATCTTTTACTTATTAATGAATTATGAGGCACTCTTTTCCTCCTTCCGCTGATTAAGGAACACCATTTGGTGTTCCGTTAATTATGAAGGGGGTTTTTAACGAGGCCTTAACTTCTTATAAAAAAAAAGAATCCGTTACAGCAGGTTCTAAGTTTGGAAGCATGCATTTTTTTCCTGCATGTCTGAAATCTAGTTTCGTCATCAATTTGCCCATGTACTTGATTTTCATCTATCTGGGTGCATTCTGTCACAACTACTATGTAGTTGTTCTCATTTCTATTTATATCATTTTTTCCCCTTCTGCTGTAGGATATTCAAATTTTCAGCCTCCAGGAGATGTAGCCCCAAAACACAAAAAGCATGCATCTAAGAAACAAAAAAAGAACTCAGCTATGGGTCCTGCAGCCTCCATTCTCAGTGAGCCACTAGACCAGTCGCAACAGCCTCATTTGAGCTACTGGCCGCCGTATGGTCTGCAGCCGTACCAACAGAGCATCAACCAGCTACAATTCTCTCAATTGCAAGCTGCCGTAGATGGTGGTGAGTAAAGGAGTTCAGATTCCCAATGATCTTTATACTGTCTTTTATCTTGTAATCAGGACATTATATTCTCAGTGATTACTTATTTTGTTTATTTTTATAATCCATCGTTATAGGTTCTGAGTTTAGATGCATGCTTAGTATCTTCATGAATTTGTCTATATATACTCGAAAATTATTTTCTCCAAAGGATCTGCATAACTCGCTACAGATGATAAAAGTATAAAAAATGGATTTAGAGGAATCTCAAGATTTTTTCTTCACATATATCCGACTTTCTATTTTTCTGCCCTAGGACACTCACACTTGCTGCCTCAAGCAGATTATACAAGGTCCCGTGGCTACGTTCCCTGTTATCCAGTGGATCCGATGGTTCTCCCTGGCCAATCACATCCCTTGCAGTCCCCATTGAACCATGGGGAATCTAGTGAGCTACAGCAACGGCAACCGAAGGCAAGCCATTGCCAGCCTCAGTCGTCCCAGCTGCAAGATAATGTCGATATTGGTACCGTCTGACCGCTGCTTCTGTGACAATCTAGGAACTATTGGCTTACCCTTGTGTTTAATAAATTGTATAGATGGTCTTATCTTCTATGCTATTTGATAATTTAACCATCAGCACCAGCAGGAAAGCAGTAATGAACATAAATAAAAGCTAAACATAATTATCTGGAATAACCTTCGGTTGCTTGTTAAATTGCATCAGCTATGAGTTATTTTTCTTAGGTGTTGTGAAAGTTTGTAGATTTCCTTTATTTGAAAATGATTGATACTTTCAACCTTGATGTAACTTAATATTAGTGTTTCTTTTCCGGTGGAACATCTGGTTTTCTTTCCCCTTCTTGCAGAACATTCTCACATGTCTCTTACGGATTCTACCGTGAGGGGTATTAGATGTGCACTTAAGTATTCTGCTGGCCCCACAACCAACAAATCTAACCGAGTAAATCAGGAGCAGTTGGGCCATGCCAAATCGCAGCCCGAGCAGACCCCACAGAGCCTGGAACAGCAACAGTTCACAAAAAAGAGAAGAGGAAGAGGTCCTACACGCTGCCGCTTCTTGGAGGACCTGGCAGAAGGTGAGCAGATATTTGTCCAGATCAACAAGCTTGGACAGCCTGTTGGTCCAAATGCATACAAGCTAAGCTGCTTCCTGGGCACAATAGCACGGAATGGACACAAAGCACCCCTTACCTTTATTCACTGGAGGGCAATGCCAGATTCTTATAAAGGGGACATGTGGGAATATGTTCAGGCATGATAAAACATTTGCTCTGTCTTTCTGTGTCATATTACTTTCTTTTTCATTGACATTTTGCCTCTTCCATTTGCTATATAGACAAAGTTTGACATTGATCCAAGTGGCAAGTCTTGGGTCATGCAGGCTATTGGTACAAAATGGAGGGACTGGAAAGCAGATTTAAAGGCAATGTATTACGATTCTCTTAAGACGGATGAAGAACACTTGAAGGTATGTGATCCAAGGGTTGTCCCTGAGCAATGGTCAAGCCTTATTTCATACTGGAACACTGATGAGGCAAAGGTACATGCTGAGAAGTGATTGTCAACTCAAAATACCTCTACCCAGCTGCAAATTTTATTGGTAATTAATGTTTATAATTGCCATTTGTAGAAGCGTTGTGCAAGAAATAAGGCTATCCGTAAAAAACAGACTTGTGGACATTCATCAGGGACCAAGAGTTATGCAAGGATATGTGAGGAGGAGGTGATTTCTCGTTTTCTGTAGTTACATGCATGTTTCATATTTTACTTTGGCCATATTTGAAAGAAGCTGTTGCTTTTGTTGTTGAAATAGCGAAACAACAGGCCAGATGGGAAGGAACCAACTAGAGCTGAGCTTTATATACTAACACATACACACAAGGATGGACAGCCTGTTGATGAGACTGCGGCAGAATTAATTGTATGTACAAATAACTCAACTGTACTTTTGCTAGTTGCAGATTTATATGTAAATCTTGTGCATCCGCCCTTGACAAATTTTGCAAGTTGAACAGTTGTGTTTTTCTTTGCAGTCAAAGATCCGCGAACAAGAAGATAAGAAGCAGAATAACTCACAATGTAGTGATGAGTCAAATGACACCTTGTGTCAAGTTATGGGAGAAGAAAAAGGTGACTGTGTGGAAACTTCTGGAATGGGTCCCAATCGTACTGGTATTTTTGGCTCAAGGCCTAGCCGTGCTGCCCTTGTGAGGATGGCTTCCGAGGCCAAAAGTTCCGCAAATGAGGAGGTGCGTAAGATGACAGTGAAAATGGAGGCCATGGAGGAAAAATATACCCTCATGGAAAACCACATGGCTAGAATTGCCTCAAACATGGAAAAGTTTCTACAGAAGATTGGTGTGTCTTCAAATATTTTGGGGTCTGAACAGGTACCTCTTATACCAGTATTTAATGGTAGTTATTTTTTGTCTTATGCCATACTATTATGCTGTTTGCATAACAGTTATATGATACTCCTAAATGTCCCGAGTACACAATGAAGCTACAACCTACAGTACATATTTAGTAGGGACAATATTTTTACTGGACATGTTAACTAATTAGCTAGTCTTGGAAATGTACCAATAGCTAATAAAACAAAATGTTGTGACCGAGTGGGTTTGCAAAATAAGGAGCTTTTAAGCATATAGGGTAATCCAATATATTATGATAAGTGCCTTAGTTGATTGTAAGATCTTAATTGTGAAAATAAAATGATCTCAAAATATAATATTTTAGGAAATAGCATGTCATGCATTTGTAGTTTTGTTACAAATGTGTGCAATATCATTAAGCATATTTCAGGAATTTACAGTACATGACATTGAAGAAATGTTTTCTCTCGAGATTCTATACCTTTGATCATGCATTCTACCAGGGATGGACGCATGATTTTATACCGTCCAAAGGTGCGAATTTTTAATAAGTTATATTAGAAATTTAGGGGGTGTCAAATTAGGTCTTCGATAGAAAATACTTAAACTATATGGGAATTTGAAATTTTCAGGGGGTGTGATTGTTCCCCTCGGTCCATCCCTGCCTTCCATGTATGCCATCCGTCTCGCCTGCATTAACTTATAAATTACACATGGAAAACAAGACTTCCTTTGTTCATTGTGTATTTACTTTCGGAACCAGTTTTGCCAATAACTCGGTTTTGTTTTCTTTTTTCCAGCATTTCCATGAGGAGGAAGACCCGGAAGATGATGATACTTAACGGACTTTACCACCGTTTTCGCCGTAGGTGGCATTATTCTGATTCAAATTGGTAGTGTTTTAATGTTGAACTTTTGAAACAACAACCATTGAAGGAATGAAGTTGCTAAGCGAAACGTTCTATTTTGTCTGAATGAATGCGAAGCTATTAAGCAAAATGGCTGTGGGTGGATCGCCACCACCGTCCGACAAGTTGAATTGTTTCCCTCTGGTATTTATTTTTTCCCCTGATGAGTTTATGTTTCCGGTAAGGTAACGACAATGCATGCAATTATTTAATGGGTTTAGACTTTTAAGTTGACATGGTTTCAGAACCAGGCTTCTACATGTATGTGTATATGTATATTCAGGATATATATCACTATTTTCAGATGATAAAACTCATGTGGATTTGTACAAACTTTAGATATTTCCCCCCTTTTTCATTTGATGTAATTACGTACACATTCATGTGGATTTGATGTAATTATTTGTTAGCTGCAGGGTTGAAATTTGGCTTTCACTTCTGTCTTTGTAATTGTCACGATACACGAAGGTTATGATTGAGGTAGAGTAAATTTCGATTTAAGAAATTGATAAATCATTAGTTTTGGTAACAGAAAGATTAATTTATTTCCAAGTGTAACCTAGTTTAATAAAAAAAACTATTTATGAAAATGATAAAATAAATGTTAAGATTCTAATATCAATTGGTTTAAGGTTACTTTTGTTTCTGTGGTAGATATTATTTATCAATTTTGTCTCTATTTTATTTTCATATCAATTTAATCCTTAAAATTGTTTAATGGCATCATTTTATGCTCTACCCTTAACTTGAAACTATACTCTACCTCTAACTTGAAACTATACTCTACCCTTAACTTGAAACTCTAAGTTAAGTTGAAGGTTATGGTTTAGAGGTTATAGGGTTATGGTTTAGTGTTTATAATTTAGGGTTTTAAGTTAGAAGTGAGATATAGAATGATGCAATTGAACAACTTTGAGAGTTAAATTAACGCGAAAATACGATAAGGACAAAAATGATAAATTAAATCTATTAAAAAGACAAAAATTACCTTTATGCATATTAATATTAACCAGTGTTGATAGCAGGAGTGTTCAACTGTTCATTATTGGATATTAGAAATGTTGGGTGCTTAATTTATCGGGTATCAAACTAGTTAATAAGTGCCTTAGTCTTGAAATTTGAGTTCTTATTAAATTTTGGTACATATTAATTCGAGTAATAAGGTATCTAATGCTAATTTTGATTTTTTTTATAAATTAGTAAATTTTGATTTTTATAAAATTGAAAAATGAATAAACTTAAAAATTTAGACAAAGAGACATAGGAGGTTTTGTACTTTCTAAAAAAATTAACGTGTTCATCGTATTATTTTTTTGACACCCTAATTCAGAAAATAAGTCTAATATGACATGTTGATCAACGTTTTTCTCGCTGATCATACTAATGTGGTGGTTCAAAGTGTCGTCATAGCAGTCCATAGTGGTTGATAATGTGACGGATAACATGTCAAATGTATTAAATTGATAACTCAAACATGATAAATGAAATGTCATGTCAGCATCGTGAACTACCACATCAACAACGTAATGGTCAAACGATAGAAAAGATGGTCAAAAGATCATATCAAGTTTGTTTTCCGAGTTGGATGGCCACATTGAAGGAAAAAAAATACGAGTTATGTTTTTTTTCTAAAATATAGGGATCTCTAATGCATTTTTGTCAAAATTTTAAAATTCTAAATTATATAATTTAAATATAAAATTATAGATATTTAAGCGAAATAATTTGGGGAAATAGAGAAAAATTGTTATAATAATAATAATTTAATTTAAAATAAAAATTAAAAATAGAGTCGAGTAAACACTTAAATATTAATACGACGCCGTAATTCAGGGCATCTGAAAATTCTTTTAAGGAACAAGGTTTGGGAACTCAAATCCATCTTGTCCCTCCGTTAAAAGTGAAGAAATCTCCAAATACCTAATGTTAACTTCTTTCTGGGATTTTGCAATTACTTAATTACACCCGCAGCTAAAGGTAAACACTCTCACATCTTCAGGAAATTTTATTGTACGATAATTTAATATACAGTTAAAGAAAAATATTATTAGAAATATTAATATTTTTTTAATATTTTTAATAAAGTATTATCTAAAATATTATTTTTTATCAAAAATATTAATTTTGTTAACTAATTTCTGGTAGAAAATAATATTTTAGACAACGTCCAATATTAATATTTTTAATAAAAAAAATAATGTTTTAGATAATATTTTACTGAAAATATTAAAAAATATTAATATTTTTAATAACGTATATTATTAACAATATATTAAGATGTGGTTAAAGAGACATCATTTTTCTCCAAAGTAATTATTCGCTCTTATTTGTTTCTTAATTTTTAAAAGAGAAATCCCCTTTTTTTTTGGGCATTTTTTTTCGAAAAATCACCGGTGACCGATATATTTATCGATCTAATATCGGTCAGATTATATTTTTCGATCTAACACCCGTAGCAGTAAAGCGTGCTCCCTGTCCCGCGCTATATGCTGATTTGGCGCCACGTGGGGTATAGTACGCCCCATGTACCGCGCTATACACTGATAAGGCTTACACGTGGGTATAGCGCGGCCCCCTGATCCGCGCTATACGCCACGTAGGGGTATAACGCTGCCCCTGCTCAACGCTATACCTAGATATGGATTATATTTACATATAGCCGCGCCTTGTATGGTTATAAATACCCTTCGTTTCCCGTTAAGTTTCTCACATCTCCTCACATCTCTCTCCTCTAACTTATAAATTAATTCAACAATTCCGTCAACGAGTAATAATTCTGGTAATTTTCTCATATTTGATTTAGAAGTTCGTGCGATTTTTCGTTATAAATTTTGTTATAATTTTTTTATACTTATTGTTTATTATGATTATTTGAAAAAATATTATACTAATTATTTTCAATTAATTTTTGTGTTTGTAAAATTGAAAAGCATGAGCATACGTCAAAATAGTTTTGCGGTACATGTAATAATATAAAATTATATTATTTAAATTATTTACGTTGATGTGTAAAAAATTTATTGTGTTATATTTTCGTTCATATATAATTTATTTAATCAGGTTTGTTTCAGTTATTTTTTTTGCAGATATAATATTGTCGCACTTTTAAACTCAAAGAATGTCGCGACTTTCAGCTATTGTTTATTATAATGGTGAAATTCGAGAAGATGAAATCGGCGTTGTTTTCGTATCAAATGAGCGTGTTAAAATATCATTCAAGAGAAACATAACTCTTGAGGAGCTGATAACGAAGATTTCGAGGAAGATTCATGTTGGAAGTAGTAGAAGAATGTCGTCGTTGCAATACAGATTTCCAACATCATTGTTGTCATTAACTTATACAACGTTTGAACTTTTCGAACAATGATGATGTTCAAATGATGGTTGAAGCTCAAAGTAATTATTCAGACGCCGCTATTGAAATGTATGCACATTTTGTTCAAGTGCGTGCTGTTCGGAGTCAATCTTTAAGCTCTAACTATGGGTTGGCTGAACAAGTTGATCAAGTTGACAGCCCGACTACAATAATGTGTAATGATTTTAATGTCATAATGGGGAGACATTCATCCGCAACTCCTTATGATATGTACCGAGGTGGGTCCACGAATAATCCGTATGGCAACACCGCGTCCAGTTCAAGGGGAAAGCATTCATCTGCAAATTTCTTTGCAGTTTCCATATGTGAAGTTTCCATTTGACACGATGGCTTCAAGCTCCCGGGGGAGGCATTCGACTGCGAGCTTTTTCGATCTCAATGTCAATGTGCCTTCTAGTTCAAGGGGAAGGCGTGCAAGTAGTAGGTTCTTCGACCTAAATGTGGATAGCATGGAGGAACCATCATCTCCACCAGAAGAACCGCTTCGTGAGTCTGGTGCGGATGGTGCTGAGACTGGACTATTCATTCACCCAGAATCACCGTAATTCAACTCTGATGATGATGAAGTTCCAGGAAATGTGGCACAAACTGACCCTCCTGCACACATGTATGAAGCTGATTATGGTGCAATGTATGGGCCAGAATTTGCGGATATGCCTCATCTCGGTGACTATGGATATTACTCATCAATAAATAATGGTGAGTTATATTTAGGCATGGAGTTTTCAAGCAAAGAAGAAGCGGGTATGGCTATAAAAAATTATAATATCCGTAATTCTGTTCAGTCCAGAGTCAATCGATCGATGACCGAAAAATATGTATGCTATTGTGCCCGACGCGAAAACGGAAGCAATTGGATGGTTCACGTATTGAAAATGAAGAGGAAAACAACATATGGGAATTAACAGTAGACAACGGTCCTTACACATAAGATCATCCTAACTTGGACTCTGAAATGATATGCCAAGCCATCATGCCCATGGTAAAAACAAGCTCTCATATAGCTGTTGCAGTGTTGATTTCAGTTATAAAATCGCAGTATGGGTACACTGTATTCTATAAAAAAGCTTGGTTGGCAAAACAAAATGACATTGTCAAACTTCATGGCGAATGAGATGCATCTTACAACGAACTTCCAGGTTGGTTTAGGCTGGTGCGGACGTTGAATCCTGAGATAATTATGGACTTCGAAACCTCCTATGCATACCATAATGATCGGGTTCTTCACGATCGAAGCCAATTCTACCGGGTTTTTTGGAGTTACCCACAGTGCGTTAATGCTGCCAAATATTACAAGCATGTGGTCCAGATCAACGGGACTTTCTTGTATGGAAAATACAAGCAAGTTTTATTATTGGCAGTTGTCCAAGATGGCAATCGCAATATTCTTCCAATTGCTTTTGCTCTTGTTGAAGGAGAATATACAAATTCTTGGGCTTTTTTCCTCTGAAATTTACGTGCACATGTTATCACGAGGGAAAACATATGTGTCATTTCAGATCGCGGAGCTGGGATCAAAGCAACAATGGAGTCCTTGGGTCCAATGTGGCAACCACCCTTTGTCCAACATAGGTATTATCTCCGACAAATTGCTGCGAACTATCACAGAAGGTACAAGAAGAATGATGAGCGTCAATTAATTGTGTGCATGAGTAAGTGAAACTGATATAGTTTGTTTTCTTTCAATCGTTTTAATTTTGCAAAGAAAGCAAGTTAGTAAGTTATACATTTCTTGATCAGGTTACAAACTATTTCCTCGAACGTTTGAATCAATGCTTCAAGATTTGCGGGCGAAGAATGAGGAAGGATACAATTACATCAGCCTCATTGATAAAGAAATGTGGACGAACGCATATGATGGTGGATATTGATATGGACACATGATGACCAACTTAGCAGAGGCAATCAATTCAACTTTAAAGGGTGCACGTCATTTACCAGTAGCGGCTTTGGTAAATACTACATATTTTTATTTGGGGGCGCTTTTTGCGAAGCTCGGGGGACAAGCTCAAACCTGGATGCAAGGCGGTCATGTCTATTACCCTAGATTAGTTGCAGATCTATAGGAAAAAATTACTGCATCAAATGGAATGTCTGTAACAAGCTTCTCTAGAAGGCATGAAATGTTTCGTGTCACAGAGTTGCCGCGACCTCTTCAAGGGATTGAAGCTGTGTCGTTAAGAGTAAATCTAAGGGACAGAACGTGCGACTGCGGGTTTTTTCAAGCTCTGAAGTATCCATACTCTCATGTGATAACAGCTTGCTCGCATACACGTCAAGACTATAATCATTTTATGGATCCCGAATACCTACTATCTGAAGTTTTTAAGGTATACGAGTTTGAGTTTCCCCCATAGGTAATGACAAAGACCCTGATGAGGTTCAAGATTGGCTTCCGATTGTACCAAATCCGAGTTTATTGAGGGAGCGTGGTCGTCCAAAATCCAATCGAATTCATTGCGATATGAATATTCGAGAAAGATCTAGACAAGACAGAAGATGTGGGCATTGTAGAAAACTCAGGACACACTAGAAAAACATGTCCACTTCTGTTGCCATCAAGTAACAATTAATGAGGAAATGATGTGTTTGTTTATCAAATAATAATTCTTGTACTTTGATTTGCATTTACTTCAAGTTAATGTAATTCGATAATCGCTGATGAAGATTAAAAAAACGAACACAATCATTAAATTTTATCAAACTAATAACAATTTGGTATTTGAATATAATTTTAAATACAACAAACTTACAATAAGAATTAAATGGTAAATGATAACCAAATTACAATAACTAATATTAAATGGTAATAAACAAAATTAACTGAAATACATTAAAAAAAGTCCAACAAATTTAACAAAATAAAGTAAATACAAATATAAAAAAAAGCTATCGATACCTGCGACGCGAATGTGTTCCGTAGGGCGGTGGCTGTCGGTCTCGAGGAGGATTTCTTCGTATCACTGGTTCTGACTCCTCGCTGTCATCATCATCACTATCGTCGTCATCGTCGTCGTCCTGAGCAGATACATTAGGTTGATGAGGAGCTGATGACGATGAAGCACCTCCATAGAATAAGGACCCTGGAGGTGTATGACTGACTATCCCACCGGACTGCGAAAACTGGGAAAACTCATAAAACCCAGACATCGCTGAGTGTGAAAATTGTACAGGAGGTGTCTGTGATGCGGCCATGGGTGATGAGGCTGAACCCGCCATATATCCAGTATATAAACCCTAAGTCGGATCTACAAACATAGACCCATAATAGCCTCCAGGAGGGGTCATCTGTGACGGTGGTGGCAGCGGGGGTAATAAAACCAGGTTAAGGCGGCGGCGACGACATCATATACGGTTGTGGCATCATAAATGGTTGCGGTGGCTGCTGTGAAGGTCCTGCTGGTGCAGTTGAGGATGAACCGGAAGCATCTGCTCTCCATCCACGAGTCGGGGGACGATGGTGAAGTGTCGGTGAACGTCTCTGTCGACGTCGCGGAAAGGTCTGCCCTCGTGCATCCTCGGGAAGCAGGAAACGGTTTCCCGTTACTGTTGAACCACTCATAATAACCGTCAGCAAACATCAAGAGCTCATCAAAAATTGGCTCTCTACGGGGAAGACGCCGATGTCGATCCTCCCACAACACTACCCACTCATGATGCCTCACCAGCCAATCTTTATCTGTCTTGCCGCGTCTATCTAAACTATGCAACTCGTCCATATTGCGAGGTGCTTCCGGAATTGGTTGAAAACAACCAAACTGCCGGAGCACGCGATAAGTAGAGTGCCACTCGACGGTCGCATAACAGATCAGAGGGACCATCGCCATCCAAACATTTGATGGGCCCCTCAACTCAGGTGAGATCACCACCCTCACATCATCAGTACAATATGACACCCATTCAAACTAAAACAAATATTATATAATTTTTATCAAAATAATAATCTAATTATATAACTATAATCTAAAATCGATTTTTAAATATTAAAATTCATACATGTGTGCCAGCCTTCTAATCGATTAGCGCCCTAATTTTTTTCTAAATCATCAGGTAGCTCCTGATGATTTTTCCTATCAGTAGACCACCTATTCAAGGAAAAAAATTATTATACGCTGTATAAAATTATTAATATACAAAATCAGTTTTATAATTACCTCAGAAGTAGTGGAAATACGAATGGGTTCTTCACAACGGGACATAAAAAGGGCAATCGATACCATGCCCAAGACTGCAGCAGCAGGAGACATCCGCCGATAGCATTATGCCTGTAGTTAGTGGCTCCACACATCTCCCTGTACAACAAAGCCAAAACTGCCAAGCCCCAACTGAATGATCCGGCCAGACGAAAGTCACTAAGATGTCGCAACCACATGCAGTGAACTAGGTTGCGCGATTTGTCCGGCATCAGCAACCCTCCTATCAACTACAGTATGCATGCCTGTGCATACATCTTCTTCATCCTCAGCATCCTATCAACTACAATATGCATCCTCAGAGGCGTCTGCGCTCAACTCCCGAAAATTGGCATCTAACCAATTTAATGGTATCCTACCTCCAATAAAACTTTCCGGGACACGTCCTAGATTATCCCGACACAAAGTAGTCTAGAAACCCTGCGAGATCCCTGATATCACATCTCCATCCATCAGAAGCCCTAGGTGCATAGCAACATCCTCAAGTGTAATCATGCACTCTCCGCACGGAAGATAGAATGTGTGGGTCTCCGGCCTCCACCACTCTACTAAGGCAGAAATAAGGTCTAATTCTATCTTACAGTGACCCTGATATCTACCTATGTAACCAAATCCAGCCTCTACTAAATACGGCAAGACACGACTAGATATCACTAACTTAAGATTCCTAATAAAAGGATCTAATGCACGGTCCTTCTCCTAAAATTAAATAATTACACAAATTAATTCTTAATCTAATAATCATACATTAAATAAATCAACAAATTATTACAAATAATTTAAATTAAATTAAAACGTTAAAATGTTATCGTATCAGCAAAGTGTCGAGATATATGATTTCCATCCAAGCGAAGTAGACCGCCTTCCATTATATATATGTAAAAAAATTATATTAGTAAAATATTAAATAAAGTAAAATGCTTAAATAAATTAAATACATAATATTAAAAATATTATAAAATATACCTTAAATAGAGAGTATTTGAGAGAATTTAAGAGAATATGGTGTGATGAAAGTAATAGAAGATGGAGTATTTATAAGGAGTATTTGGGGATAATTAAAGGTATAGCGCGCCACCTGTACCGCGCTATACCCCACGTGTCAGATAAACATATATATCGCGGATAAGGGGTCGCGCTATACCCACATGTAAGCCATGTCAACGTTTTAAAAACGCTTTTTTCTTAGTATTCCTTTTAAAAATATTATTTCCAAAATTTTGTAGATTGCTAAATTGCCCCGCCATTACTCTGTTATTCGTTGTTCAAACAAGATTAGCCCAAATCGCCATTTGATTTTTACTTTCTCTTGTCAAGTCTAGCGTTTCTTGCGTTTTCTTTCCACCACGTTGTTCTTTTCTGAGAAAACAGCAAAGAAAAGAGCTTTCTAGGGTTTTTGGAGAATTGGGTTTCTGGGTATGTTTAAACTGGGGAATTTTACGAGGGAAAAAAGATATAATATTTTTAGTAAAAAAAGAAGAAGAAGTAATCTTTGGATTAGTGGGGTTGCTATTGACTTGATTTCTGTTTTTTTTATGGTTGGTTGTAGTGTGTAAGAAAAAGGCCAATTTCTGTTTAGACAAATGAAGCGAAAAAGAGGACATAAGAAAGGAAACAAGGCAAAAGCCAATGCAGGAATCTTCACCTGTTAGTAGTCTTTATGGTGAGGACTCATCACCAAATATGGATGAATCAGTGGACCCATATGCAGATACCGAGGTGGAAGGTGAAGGAGGAAATGTGAAAAGAGAGGTGTCTGAGCATCAATATGGCCATATGGAGGGGAGGCATGAGGAGGAGGAAGAGGAGGATGAGGAAGAAAATGAGATGAAGCCAATGAACAAAGATGGGCATCAAACAAAAGAGCAATCGCAGTTCAGAGGTAGCTTGTCAGAGGAGCCTGGTAGAAAATCTCTGCCTGAAGCAATGGATAAGTCCTGTGCGGTAGCCATAAACCAGAGAGGATATACTCCATCACAAAATGCGGAAAAAAGTAAAGCAGTTCAGCAACACAGACACAAGGTTTTTCTCTTCTCCACTCTCCCTTTTTTTTTTCCTTCCCACCCCGTCCTGTTTCCGATTTCCAAAATATAGTCATCAATGATGCGTCAAGAGTTTACTACAAAATATCCCATTTCCATTCTTGCTCGAAGAGTGTACTGCAAACTTTCTTCCTATTTTTTTTGAGACAAGGCTTAAGCACCTTATTAAGTTCTCTGCACAGTGATGCATGTTTCAATAGTTCAAGGTTTCTATTTTGCACATACACATTTTTGCATGTCTAACATTCTACAATGTATTTAGTTTGTGCACCGAGTTAATGGTGTTCATGGAATTACAGGAGTCTCAAGAAAGACAACAAAGATCTAAAATGTTGGAGAGCTTCCGCTTCGAGAATCCCATGCTCCTTAACCTATGTGGATTTCTCTTTTCTCACAATAAGAAGTCTGTTTGGAGTGGCCCTCATTCGTTGGCTCAGAATCGGGGTTCTTCATGCAGCTATCGAGACTTTCATGAAGTAGATTATGGTAGTTCTCGCCCTTCCTTTGTCAAGTTGTATTTGACATAGCTCTGTAAGCTGTCATGGTAAACTAGGTGATTTGCATATTACCACTGTAAATTATTAGATGGAAAACACGAGAATGCTCAGACACTAGACATAATCTACATTTATGGTTTACAATTTACTCCTCCAATCTAAGTTTCCTTTAGTTCTGCCATTTTTTATCATATAACTATAGTTTTTCATCCTAGATAAAGGCTTCAATCATTGTTTTCATCATTTGCTGTGTGAAGAGTCATAACAGCGTAGGACCTTTTTGAGAACGATATTGCTTCGTAGCAGCATAGGATCGTTTTCATCATTTACCATGTGAAGAGTCATAACCCGTTCTTTCGATTGAATGATTTCCTTTTCTGAGTTCTGTGGCTGCTGTTTTCAAAGGTGTTCTATGCTTGCTGTTATCTATGTGATCTGTCAAATGAAATGGGAGAGACACAGTCGATCATCGAAAGGTAGAGTGGGTAACCATTGTATCATAATTGGTCGGTTTTCTGCGTTGCTGTTCCATTAATGTTATAGAGTTTTGCTTTGAGACTAAGAGACGGAAAGTAGGAATACACAAAACATAATCCAATCCATAATAGAAATCACAAGGTACAATAAATAGCAACATAAGATGATGAAAATAAATGTCAGCATAAAACAATAGGAGGTGTAATGAAATGTTCGAGTGAAACTATGTCTACCATCTCCGTACTAAAGAAAGTTGAACCACTGACAGCATCTCAAGGACTGGTAGTTGATGGTGGTGGAGAGAGGAAAGGAATCGAGGGAATAGTAGTCGGAATCGTGGGGATCGAAGGGAAGCCTGACAGTGGTGGCATGGTAACCTTTGGGACAGTAGGCAAGTTGGGAATGCTAGGAAGTGGCGGTATCGAGCCAGGCTTCGGCAGTGCCGGTAAAGTCGGTATCGTAGGCTGTGGCAATGGTGGCAGCCCTATTTTCGGCAAAGTTGGTATAGTAGGCATGGGCGGTAACTGCTGAAGATGACGAGCTGCTAGACCAACATCAATGCTGGAAAACATCAGTGCCGCAAAGAAGGCTAAGATGAAACAGTTTAGAGATGCCATTTTCTAGTGATTCCAATGTATGAAACAATGAGTGATTGGAAGTTGAAGAAAGCCAAAGCTGGTGCTGCTGCGTTTTTATAACCAAAATCCATGGAGTGTAGCTTGTCTGGTTAGATCAAATTTGGGTATGGTAGTTCACCACCTTTATCTATCTTCGACTCTACATTGTTTGGTTGGTCGTCTAACACTGAGCTCCGGCCTTAAGCTATCGGTTGCTTTTATATATAGTTCACGTATATTATTCTATTTGGTATTAACCGTGTAAAATGTAAGTTACTTTATATAAAAATGAAAGTGTAAATTATATTAATGGTCACTCAACGTTTAAAACGTTTGTATTTTGTTTATCAAAATTGCAATTATTTAACTTAATTACGGTCGATAAAGAAAAGGTATTATTGCAATCACTAGAAATTGAACTATTGACAGAACCCAACGACATGATACTTGAGTTAGCATGAACATCATTTTCTTTAATAAAATAATATCATCTAATAACTTATTGATAAAATAATAGCATGCGCGTCATTTACTATTAATGATTTAACAGTCCAAATATCAAAATGAAAATTTTATTTAACGACAATGACTATAATGAAAACTTATCAATTTCAATGACCAAAGTGCAAACGGCCATAAAGTTAAGTGACCATTAATACAATTTACCCAAAACATTAAATAAAAACAGTAAAGAGAGTAGTTTAAGGGATGTTGCTTGTCTGAAGAAAATTTTCGACTGTTTAACTTGTTGATGCAAGAGAATGTTTGGTTCACTCCATTACCAGAATTTTCTTGGGAAAAAAGAAGCAATTCCATAAAGAGTACTGAACTTCATTTAGCAATAGTCTTACATTAATTATACTAATGAAATTCTAAATCAAGAAAACTAAAATTAGTGCATTTGTTATTAATAGTTTGGGGGCAATCGGCCCCATCTCAAAATCTCCTCCCTGTTCATGTAGGAAACAGCAGCTTAAGTGCCTTATGATCATGGCAGATCATACTTCACACGTCCAAGGTATAAACCACATGCAGGGGCCATTGGACTTGCAGCAGTCACCGTCTTTGCATTCAGAATTTTTTCCACTGCAATAATTTCATTTGATTCGATGCATGAATACCGATCCGGAAATGTTAAAAGAGGCTAAAAACTAGAGCAGATTAAACAATTGCCTACATGCACATAAAATGAAAACATACCATCAGAAGTTGTCAACTCTCCAGTGCCAGCACATTTGAGAACACCGACAAGCAGTCTAACCTGCATGAAACCTGGCAGATGATTGAAATATATATGTATATACGTGTGTGTGTGCAAGTGAAAAGCTATATCCAACAAAGATGTGTCAGAAAGACAAAGGAGACATCAATATAGAGATAACAAGTTATTCAATTGTTTTCTTCCTTAGACTGGGCCGAGAATTGCCGTACATAGTAACGAACAAAACTCACAAACGGGAAATCAAAATCATATATAAAGGAGGCAATGACTGAAACCTGGTGGTAAAGAAAGAGGAGTGTGCACGTGCTGTTACCACATAGCAGCGGTGTCTTCTCCTTACTCCAAATTCTTCTAGGGTACTTTTACCATTATTTGAGTCTACCACATCATCAGTATTGGAGAATGAATTAATGGGGAGCTCAACCTCAGGCTTAACAGAGCATAAATGAGAATTGCTCGAGCTCGAATTACTCTGTTCCCTCTCAATGGTTGATGGGAAATAAGGAGTTGCAGGTACCTCACAGACATGAAGTTCATCTAAAGTTCTGATTGGTGAGTTTGCCTACACATACAGCATCTTCAAGTAGTTAAGAAAACTAGAAAGATGGAAAATTCGGATTCTCAGCTATCAGGAAATATTACACAAGCAATTATGTCGTTTAGGCATAGACACGCATGTGTGGAGCCATGTAACACACATGATAATGATAGTATGATACTTCATTCATGTGAGAGAAGTAACCACCTGGCAACCTGATGCCCTGAAGGAACTAAAATCATGATGTCCAACAAGAACTTTGCATGCTTCCTGCAAGCATACCAATCAAGTTCACTTTTTCTGTAATAAATCAATAATTAGATCAAATAAGGAATCACAATAAAAACCCACCTGCATTGCATATAGATCTAGGTTCTCTTGTACATGCCACACCCGGTCTTTTTCAAAGGCAGTCAATGGTTCAGGGCCAGAAACCAAGCGGTAAAAGTACCTACAAAATCATTTCCCACAAATTCAGAGATATATCTTAGTTCAATTCATGGAATGCAATGAAATCAAAATCACTGTCTTGCACTTTTAGAACACCATAAAGAATCATCAACGTGCTTCTAATTGTATTAAGGGATTTTCTTGAATAAAGCATTAAATAATATGGAAAAACCTAAAATGTCATGTGAATCTGCTTAAATATTTTTTGCACTTGTTAGAAGTGAGAAACATATCAATAACAAACATATTCTGTTCATGTATGACTGCTAAAAATAAATTTTAAAAAAAGCATGATGTAAGCTGACAGAATAAAGTATGAATGCTCTTAAAGTAATGATTCAAGCATGCAGCAGTTTTTGTTTTCCATCTTTCATATCATAATATGCTTCCCTCAATCCTTGAGTACCAAGGTCCATTTAAATACACAAGTAAAGGCAAAGAGCTGATTTATGTTTTAATTAAAACACAAGCACAATGCAATCGACAAATTCATCTACTAGAAAAGGGCTTTAGCAACAGGATGAACATGTTTTAATCCTTTTTTTTCAAAACTTTCAAAAGGGCTATATAGTAATGTCCTGTTAACCATGATTCCATGTAACAGGAAGAAAGGGTAAACTTGAAAGGTTTTAGAAGCAAGTGCCAATTTCCATCAAAGAACTATACCACCTAAAATATTTTTCAGCTATGCTAAGCAGCTACATTGTAGAAAGTGAAATTAAGATAAAAAAGAATACCTACGTGCGCTCCTCAGCTTTATATCTGGCATGAAAATCATTTGGAACACATCGAACATCGATCACGCTAATATCACCATCATTCCTCTAAAGTAAACCAAATTAAACAATGTGTTATTGGACACACAAAACCAACATGATAATGTATATATGTTTAAAAAAAGAATAAAAGTTAGCAATCCTGAGTTGAAGACAACTGAAGTAGGGAGATTCATACAACATCTTATTGCATAAACTAGAAAAGATCATCAGGAAACACACCTGTAAGAAATGGTTCACAGCTCTTTTAACAACAGATGGTTCATGAGGTGGTAACTGCATTTTAGCATGAAGATTATGTAAGTCAAAAGGATAAACTGTTATAACTTAGTTATTTGCAAAATACTACTACAAGTAAAATGTACATTGAGGCATCCAAATCATATTCATGGAAACAAAAAAAAACATTAAAAGTAAACATCCGCTCATATACATGTACATAAGTTTCACCTAAGACTCCATTACTTTAAATTAAAAGGAAAAAGTAAATCAAATAATAAGGAAAAACGCTTCAACCATTTCCTTGTAAGGAATGAAAAATAAAAAGGGCAGAACGCAAATAATAGAGAAATGTATGTCAACACTTTTCAAGTATCAAATGGAAAACGATATTCAGAGAAATAGAAAAAGGAGATAAGAAATATTCATGTATAGATACTCACCACTTCACCAGGCTTCCTTTTGCTTATCCGTTCCACGTCTACATGGAAAACATTCGATAAGGCATGTACACCAGCATCCTACAATTGTGGCAAAAAAATTAAATTGATACAACATTCAATAGCATACATGTCGCAGTGGAATTATTTCTCCAATTCAAGCAAATTAAAGTATATTACTTCAGAAAATTATACTACAACTGAACTTTTTGGTAATAATACCAATCGACATCCTAAGCATTATCTCAACCAAAAAATGTCTGCATGTCCATTAATTCATGAGAGTAGAGT